TTCACAGTAAACGACCACAAACTGGGTCCCGGAGCGAGATCACCTGAAACTTACGGACGGGTTTAATAAAAGTCAGGCTCAGCACGGTTTTACGGGATCTGTGGGTGATGATATAAAAGTCAGCGGCTCCTTTAAATCAAAGACACATCGGCTTCAGCCAAACGTCAGCGACAAACCGGCGGGGGAGTAAAAGCAGCTGACGACTGCGTCAGACCGACAGGAGGGGAGTTAAACTTCATCTGACAAGCAATCAATAACCATATCTGATCAGCTTCATCGACAGTGAAGGACGTAAAAAAAAAACAACACACATCTGATTTACTGCAGACAGAGAGAGGGGTTGGGTTAGGTAGGAAGAAAAAACAGCTCAGATTTAAACTCCACAGGAACAAGTGTGTGTCTGTTTGTGTGTGTCTGTGAGTGTGCGTGCGGTAGGCGGGTCATGATGACGACGTGCACCCCCTCCCCCCATGTGACTCTGCTCCAGGGGTTGAAGGTCATCACATGCCCTGCCTGATGCTCTGGATGATCTGGAAGATGGCTGCAAGACACACACACACACACACACACACACAGTAATCAGTTGCAGTTGTCAGAAGGTTGATGCTAAGCTAACAGTTTCCCCCGCATTATTTTTTCCCTCTGGCAGCCCTACTGTGCTGTGATTGGCTAGAACACTTGCACGCGTCCCTGTGATTGGATGCCAGCTCTACGGTGGGCCGCTAACCGAGAGCGGCGCTAACAGCGACGTTAGCCCATCACAGTCACCCGCACAAAGGTGGAGTTTGTGGCTCAACGTCGACTCACAGGAAATGCCAACATGTTCTCGCTCGTCACATGTGGACGCTTGGTCAAGGCCCTTTGGCGTCGCCTTTTAACGCGCTGGTTAGCCCTTTAGCATCATTTATAGATGTTTTTGGCTCTGCGGTAAATATCAGTTAACACGAATGTTAACTTACGTCACTTCCGTCACTTGCGCAATCTACGTAATTTGCGTAACTTAAATTAAAATATTTAATGTTGATTTTTTGATTCACATGGGACACGAATCCCGGTCTCCTGGTTCAAAGTCGGGGTTCTGGCCCTCCATCCACCCCTTTTCTATTAAATATCATATACCTGCCTTTACCGTCAAAAACTGATGCTACAGGGCTTCCCCCACTGCGTTGAACTATGACGCTATAGGGGTCCCCAGCCCGTTACAAACTGACGGCGATGGGTCTTGACCATGCGTCCATATGTGACGAGTCTGGGAGTGAGAACGCTTTTAAAATGCAGCAAAAGAAAAATAAGCTGTAGGTCGCAGCAACCCAAAATAATGGACTGTCCACCGCTGAGACGCTCAACCGCAGACTGTTTAACCCATTTTCATCACATTAACTTAGCTGAGGAGTTGTTTGTGTATCTGGTTCCGGTACAAGAACAAACATCCAGAACAAGTAGAACAATACAACAAGTTGAAAAGGTTCTACACAAAACTTTCAAATACAGTCTGTTACAGTTTTAATTGCTTTTTGCTTTGAATTGAAGAAATGTCTGATTTAAAACATTTATATTCGTATAGTTTTTATACTGGCCTATCACAGCACAGTGTGTTTCCTCCTGCTTCCTGTCTTTGTGCTAAGCTAGGCTCACTTCAGTCAAACTGCGTCTCACTTCAGATACTCCCGTTAGTACCCCAACACGTAGTACACTGTGTACTTACTTACTAGCCTAGGGCAGCGTCTCGAATCAAACACGGCTGTTGTGCTCTGGACATGACGATTTGTCACCAAAATATCTGCACTTCAATTAAATATATTTTATTAACGTGCTTGTACTTTTTCAATCTCTGCCGCCAATTTGAAAATACGATGGTCGTCCCTTCTTGTTATGTAGCCAAGATGGCGACCGTTGAGGGTGAGAAGTACAAAAAAATAATTTAGCCTGTGTGAGTTCGGAGGACACAGTTTGAGTTTCAACTGAAGAACGAGTTCATCTTTCTGATAAAAGACGTGTTCACAGCCGAGGAGCTGCTGCGGTTTCACTTAAGATAAGAGCAGAGCTACGTGTCCGTGACCTCTGCAAGAGATGCAACAAGTCACTTCAGAGATACTTTACATCCTCCGCCCGTCCAAAGTGGGCTGGACTAAAGATAACGGCGTGTCTCCTCGCCGTTTGGTTGTTTTATTACAGCACACAGAGTACACACACTGCTGCAGCCAATAGTGCAAAACGAGTCACATCTGGATCCGTGTTGTTGCTCTCAGAGTAATGGTTTGGCACAGGTGCTCACAAGCGGCGTGAGTTGACACTTTAAAACACAGGTGAGCGAGTTTGAGCTACCAGATGTGAAACTAACCACGTAAAGAACATGTGGGAAGATTTCTGCAGACAATGTGTTAAAGTTAAAGCATTTAGAGGCTTTTAGTTTGCTGACACTTGTTTCCTGACAGCAGAGTGAAGGATTCTTTAATAATTAATTCATGTTCTGAGCTTTGGGCTGCATGTTGCATATTTTTTTAATAAAGTGAAGATTAATATTTTCTTCCAACTCATTTTGTTTCATGCTTTCATAAAGTATGACTTGTTTTAAAATGTATGAAATATGTTATACTTTATATTTCTTAGTTTTTTTAGCTTGACTGTGTAACCACTGTTACAGGGACTACAGATGAAAAACAGTCTCATTTACATTTATGTTTTATTAATGTACACTGTCCCTGCTAAATGACACTGAATAAATAAAAATCATCTTCACTCTCTGTCTGCAGGTCAGAACTGACTTCAGCACACAAGCATCAGATGCTTGTAATTAAATAATAAAACCCCATAAATTAAAAAATCTAACAGCATTTAAGGCCTGATATGCGTGAGTAAGGAGCGTGTGACACCGAGACGCAGCTCTGCAGGAAACCCATTTAGATGAGATGAGCTGTGCAGGAAGCAGAGCTGCTTAACAGCAGTGCGTCCGTTATCACACGCGATACCTGTGTGATACCTGCAGGTGACACTCACCTGACCCACAAACCACGAAGACGAAGAGCGCCAGCAGCCACGGACCCACCGGAGACTTCTCCTCGTTTACTGGCCGCTGAAACACACAATATTACACATTTATTAGTGCGCACCAGGTAAACAAAGCCTCTTTTAGACTAACAAACATGGCTGCTCACTTCTTCCTTCTGGGAAAACAACACAGTAACTAGTATAAATCCTGCAGGCGGCGGGAGATGTTCTGCTGTGGTGTTTTCCTCTCACTCTGCTGCTGTTAATCAGCAGGGTGGCGTCGCTCTGTTCGCAGCACGGCGACAAAGTAACAACAAACTGACAGCAGCTGTGATCATCAGGTCACGGCTGAGCTCACGGGCCTCACTTACTTAATCGGCCCCTTTAGTCGTTTCCCCACAGGAAGAGAGAAAATATATTAGGAGGGCTACAAATAAACACTCATGCTGAGTCAAAATAAATCAAAATTAAGTCAGAATCATGAAATCTTTAAGTCAAACCACTATCATTTTCTTTTACTGCTCTCCAAAGTGTTGGTCTGGCCTAATTAGCTAGCCTACCATAAACACACTCATGTCAGAGATGGTTTCATTGGGCACACAATGCTGTTACAGCTGACACCACCATGCTAACAGAGCTCATCACAAACTCCATTGAGAAATCCGTATATTTAATGCTGCGTTTTATGTTTACAAAAGTAAATACAATTTAAAGAACAATAGTTTACGTTAATACAACGCGTTGGAAGCTCTCCTTAAATTCGGCTTATGCAAACTTTGCAAAATCAAGACTTTTTCAAACCCTCTCTCTGAATCTTTAGTATTGTGTTCGTAACGTTGCACGCCGCGCCTCCGCCCACCGCGGTGTTTACAGCAAAAATGTACGCGAGAAACGGTTAACAAACGATATACATTTAACTTTTGTTTATGCCGAGTTAAAGACAAGGCAATCAAACAAAAGTATCATGTGATATATCACCGTATTTATTTAGCGTTTGTGACTCCACACGCAAAACCACATTAATGTGGCAGATTTCTGAATGGAGTCTGGCTCTCTTTCATTTCATCCACATTAACCAGTCACTTCATGCCACAGGCCAGCATTTCATTTGTTTTTCCGTCATCTATAATCTGCAAGAATATTTAAACGCGCTTTTATCTTATTAATGTTGGACTGTGCAAAATCGACCCCCCGTGTGTCGTTGCTAATGCTAATGCTAACGTTAGCTCTGTCAAACCCGAGCTGCCTCCAGAACTTGTCTCGCATTTTAACGTATAAAACCTGAACTAAAGCGGATTTATTGTGCATTTAAAAGAGATAAACTGATATGTTTTAAATCAGTTTAGCCCACGCAGCCCGGCTGTCAGTACCGATGTTTTCTGGACGTGTCCCCGCTGTGTGATGGTCTTGCTGTGCCGCTCGTTCGCCACTTTCATCCTCTGCACCGCCGACATGATTCGGGTTTGCCGACCGGGTCTGGACCGGGACCAGGAGGACGGAGAACAAGGAGGAGCCGGGAACTACAGCCGAGTATCAGGAGGAGGCGGTGCCGGTGAAAAGGTCCTGCTAGGACGGGAATCCGTGCCGAGGATCGGGTCTGTGTTGTGAGGCGGACAGCGTCCGAGTGAAGCTGCTAGCCGAGCGAGCTAACCCTGAAGCCAAGGGCCCCGTCACGTGACAGGGGACAACCAGATCCAAAGTGTCTCCCCGCTGCCCTCTAGTGTAGATGCCGCGAGATGTTTCAGTCACGTTTGTCAGTCGAAAATCATTAAACATCTTCTTTCTGATCGGAGTGAATATTATTAATTATTATATTAAGGACAACACGCGGCGTCCTGGTCTCATTCATGGACCAGAGAGAGCTTTTATTTCTTGATTACTGGTCTCACTGATCAGCAATCTGGCAAAACCAGAATCAGATTTAAGTGTTTTTACACATCTGAGCAATTTGTTTTGGCAACAGCAACAATGATAACAAGATATCTAAAAATATGAGTTTAGTATTTACATTATTGCAATAGAAGAATCACATTCAGATCTGATGTGTTGTGCAAACATTAACCTGGGGGCGGGGGCGGGGGTCTGAAACAGTTTTTGTCTGGGGTGCGAGGGGTCAGCTTCAATCCTTCCTGCTCGCCTCAGAGTCCTCGAGGCGTACAGGTCCTGAAGAGAAGGAAGATTCTTCTCTGCAGAGCGAATGATGCGCTGCAGCCTGCCCTTGTCGCTGGCGGTGGCAGCAGCGTACCAGATGGTGATGGAGGAGGTGAGGATGGACTCGATAATGGCGGTGAACATCATCAGCCTTATGTCCCTCTGTTGGACGAGGACAAGTTATGTTCCCCCTCACCAAGGCAGATGGTGTTTCTAGAACAAGTTATCGCTGTCATGCATCTTTCATTTACAACTTCAGAAAGTCCATTGAATCATTTATCATGGCAGCAGGGTCCTGTGTGTTTAATATGCTGGGAAACATTGATTTATTTCTTTTTAATTAAATGTCATTTTGAAATTCCTGTATATAATTCTGTTTGTAATAACGGGACTAACACATCAACTCTGACAGGTTCCAGATCATCAGTGTTATTCACTTCACCTGTCAGTGGGCTTAATCTGAAGGCTGATTGGTGTGTGGTATATACAGGATATACATAGGTGTCATTTTTTTATTTATTTAAAAAGGACGGTGCATATTAATGGACATCTTAGCTTTTCAGCAATGTGAATATGCCAAAGTTAGTCTTGAGGCTTTACATCTGTAGTCCCCGGCAGGTCGTCTAGCTGACACAGCTAAACATTAAATTAGAGACAATACAACACAATTTTCAACATCATATTATAAAAGACACCACAGTTTTGCATACGGGGTTATGTAATTTAAGGTGCTGTTTAAGTGCCATTCCATGAAATCAAGTACAATTTTATTCTGTTTAAAGTGTGATTTAGAGCAGGAAAGTACTACAATAAAGTATTTCTCTACTACAAATGTGTTTTTTTTTTTACAGTACCTCATTTACTCTGGGGTCGTTTTCCCAGCACTTTATGAAAGCATTTGTTAAAAATATTTTGATAAATACAGTTTCTTGTGACAAGAAATGTTAAATAACAAATTAAAATACTATGAGAAAGGTTTATTTGAACAATAAAAAAACTGGAAAAATGTAACTTAAGCTATAAAAACAAGCAACTGATTACAGCATTATTTCCATTATATTTTTTACATTTTTAATTGTCATCTCCACTGGAATTTTGTGTATAAATAAAGCCCCTTACACTTTTTCACAGAATTTCTACAGAAAGTAGTAATTTAAGACCTTAATGCTCAAAGTCTGAGCCTTTATGTCTAAACCACTTTTCAAAACAAACTATATATATATATATATATATATAAAAGGGGGGCCAACCCAGTACTAGCAAGGTGTACCTAATAAAGTGGCCAGTGAGTGTATAATATTTCTTTCTGAGATGTGGAGTAGAAGAAGAAAGTAGCATGAAAAGAAAAGACCTGAGTAAAGTACAAGTACCTCACTGTTGTACTTAAGTACAGCAGTGGAGTAAATGTACTAACTTACTGTCCAATAAAGCAACGTGAGCCAAGTTGAAGTTTCTCATTTTATTGCAGCGTGCAGTCAGACTGCCGTCAAATCCTCACACACACTCGCACACACACACACTCATCAGCATGTTTAACACATGGTTGTCTCTCTTACACACACACAGTGTTCTGCTGGCTGTGTTGCAGCCAGGGGTCAGAGGTCAGAGTTCAGGGGTCAGGGGTCATTAATAGGATTCCAGGGGAGCTAGGAGGGAACCTCCGTTTCCTCTGATGTCTACCTGTGTCTAAAACAGGTGTGTTCCCTTTAGTTTAGTTTAGTTTAGTCCTTCGTTAGTAAAGTTCCAACACAAAGTCTCTGACCGGAGGCCTTGGGGTTCCTGGAGGTCAGAGGTCATGCAGGGTCAGCTCGTGGTCACCTGTAGTGACATCACAAAGACAGGCGGAGTCAGCCTGTCTGGTCAGTAAAATTTAACATAGCGGTCTGCAGGACGGGGTCTAACAACCCAGCCCACTGATGGAGCCGATGCGGTCCATCTTCATCCCGAAGCATCCCCTCCCTCCCACCATCGACTTCCTGCTCCGCCTCCTCATCTTGGACTGTCGCTGGAGGAAGTCAAGGAAGAAGCGAGGGACCGCCTCCCGTCTGCCAGCCAATCCCTTCGCAGCACCGTGACCCGCGGCGAATACCCTGGGTGAGGGGGCAGGGAGTCCAGCTGAGCCCTCTGTGATGTCATCAGAGTTGGGCGGGGCCAAGATGAGAGAAGCGAGACGAGGGCCGAACAGAGAGTTTAAGACCTGAGGAAAGAGAAGGTTTAAAATGACGTTTATTTGTAAATTAATCAATGTAATAGATCACCAATCTCAGAGTCTCAGCACCTCTCTGAAGAGCATGTGCTTTCTGCACACTAATATTTATGCCCTGAAACAAAAGTACATATTTCCATCGTGATTTCATATCCTCACACATCCGAAAGTTTTTATTAATAATGATAATAATAATAATTATAAGTACAATATTAGCTACAAAGTTACAGTAGTAGTATAATAACCCCAAAATACAATAAACACTTCAGATAATGTTGGTTGTAGCTAGCCCACCCCTACCCTCATCTTCACATCTTTCACTTTAGCCAGCATTAAGCCGTCACTCTAGACGCCACAAACAGGTTTTGTACTGAGTGTGGAGCTCCTCTACTTTTTGACCTCTGCTTGCCTTCTGTGCATCATCTTAGCAGCACTCACACCTCTAACAATGTCATTACCTATGCTGATGATACTTTATTATATATTATTTATTACTTTATTTATTATTTTTATTTCTCTGTCACCTGACTGTTGCCGTTAATCTCTGATAGTCCCCAAAACTCCTGCTAAAATAGACTACACTAGAGCTCATACTGTTACAAAGAAGTGTTGCATCAAAGAATGTACCGTAACTTGAGCTAAAGTTAACAGGAATGCTTCTGAATAATGTGATTTAATAAAATTATAACTACGTCACTGAAAAGATCCTGTTACTGAAACAAATAACTATAATTTACTGAAACATACGAAAACATAACATCATATACTAAACAAGACATTTTGAAAGCTTGAAGATTGCCTTTGTCTCTTTTGTCCTGGACTGAATGTACCCCTCTGACAAAACAACTGGCCCCAGACTGGCCCCCCAATAAAACTGGCCTACAACCGCCACTGTTTACACACAACAATACTGTATTTAATTTCAACTGTCCCTTATTACTGTACATTAATTACAGAGGCACAATCATCAGAGGTGAACCAGTCAGTCCCTCAGTCTGAGATTGCCTCCTGAAAGCTAAAATCTGCTCTCTGAATGTTATTTATTTTAACTATTGGACAACACATGCTTAAAATATCAGGGTCAGTGTATCACTGTGCATTTACATATTTTTTTCTTGGACTTGTTATGGGTCAGATGATCTGACTGTTTAAAGAAATTGAAAATGGAAGGAAATGTTTGTGTTTTTTTTTATAAAAGTTAGAGGGGTTACGTGATCCAGGATAGCAAAACATGGGATTTCCAAATCTGGATCTTTCTGATCCAGATTAAATGTTTTGAACAACTGGGCCCTGGTAACTACTCAACATTTTGATCTTTATTGAGAAGTGACAGCAGGTCGTTTCTTTAAAACATGTTCTGATGATCTACCCTAGCTAAAGAACACAAAGATGATGAAGAACATGGGGAAAACAATGATGAGTATAGATACAAAACAGACGAAGATGAGCTGAAGGCTTAGTCTCAGGAAGGTTGAGAATGAGGCTAGAAGTTAAAGATGACGACAGAACTGATGAGGAAGATGAAGATGACAACGACCGAGAGGATCATGAGATTTTGAGCTTGAAGAAAGTGAGCGTGATCTTCAGATGAAGGTGATGATAATGATGATGATGTGATGAGGATGGCGATGAGGATGAATAAGAGGATGATCTACACAGACCTGTTTGTCGTCTTTTTGTGATGAAGGTCTCGACTCCACGGCAACAGTAAGGAAGAGGAGGAGGAGAGGAATGAAAGAAGAGGAGGAGGAGGAGGAAGATGAAACAGCCATCTTTGTATCGTGGGGAACAAAAATCTGACGAAAATCAGACAGAAAACAAGATTCAGTAAATGAAACATTGCCACGGCAGCAGATTGTCCTGTATGCTGATTGGCTGGAAGGTGTTCGTTCATTGTTTTCTGCTGAAGGAAGATCATGTGATGTGAACGAAAGCTCGGGAGCAGCTACTAAATGTACCTTGTGGTGAGTTTGTCTTTATTAATGGTGCAAAAATGTAACTGTTGGCTTTATCAGCTGTTCATTAATTATTTGTTGATGACTGATGGGTCCATTTAAAAACATCAGTAAGGAGACATTTGGGCTGCCATGTTTTAATAAACCCTTTGTCTTTGTATCCATTCAAACCCCAGAAAGTTAACATGAAAGAAACAATTTTTCCACGTTTCTTGTATGTTGTGTCTCAATCATCTCATCGTAATCTTAATTCATACATACCTCTTCTTGCAGGCCGTGATTGAAAATAAGATATTTTGTTCTGAACTAATTTGCCTGGTTAAAAAAGGTTAAAAAAAGCTCTGAGAGCTAACTTTCCCTCTTCGGTAATTTAGAACTCCATAAAATGATGAACAGCCTTCAGAACAAAATGTCAGGAGGGGTTAGTGTTAACTGAAAGAAGCTCAGGGAGATGTTGTGGCTGCGTAGTGTTGGCACGTCTCCAGTCAGAGGTCTAGATGAAGGTCAGAGGTCTAGATTAAGGTCAGAGATCTAGATGAAGGTCAGAGGTCTAGATTAAGGTCAGAGATCTAGATGAAGGTCAGAGGTCTAGACGAAGGTCAGAGTACTAGATGTAGGTCAGAGGCCTAGATGAAGGTCAGAGTACTAGATGAAGGTCAGAGTACTAGTTGAAGGTTAGAGGTCTAGACAAAGGTCTAGGTCTAGATGAAGGTCAAAATACTAGATTAAGTTCGTAGGTCTAGGTCTAGACGAAGGTCAGAGGTCTAGATCAAGGTCAGAGATCTAGATGAAGGTCAGAGGTCTAGATTAAGGTCAGAGATCTAGATTAAGGTCGGAGGTCTTGATGAAGATCGGAGGTCTAGATGAAGGTCAGAGGTCTGGATGAAGGTTAGAGTACTAGATTAAGGTTAGAGGTCTAGATGAAGGTCAAAATACTAGATTAAGTTCGTAGGTCTAGACGAAGGTCAGAGGTCTAGACGAAGGTCAGAGGTCTAGATGAAGGTCAGAGTACTAGACAAAGGTCAGAGGTCTAGACAAAGGTCAGAGTACTAGATGTAGGTCAGAGTACTAGATGTAGGTCAGAGTACTAGATGAAGGTCAGAGTACTAGATGTAGGTCAGAGTACTAGATGAAGGTCAGAGGCCTAGATGAAGGTCAGAGTACTAGATGAAGGTCAGAGTACTAGATTAAGGTTAGAGGTCTAGACAAAGGTCCAGGTCTAGATGAAGGTCAAAATACTAGATTAAGTTCGGAGGTCTAGGTCTAGACGAAGGTCAGAGGTCTAGATGAAGGTCAGAGGTCTAGATGAAGGTCAGAGTACTAGATGTAGGTCAGAGTACTAGATGAAGGTCAAAATACTAGATTAAGTTCGTAGGTCTAGGTCTAGACGAAGGTCAGAGGTCTAGATCAAGGTCAGAGATCTAGATGAAGGTCAGAGGTCTAGATTAAGGTCAGAGATCTAGATTAAGGTCGGAGGTCTAGATGAAGATCGGAGGTCTAGATGAAGGTCAGAGGTCTGGATGAAGGTTAGAGTACTAGATTAAGGTTAGAGGTCTAGATGAAGGTCAAAATACTAGATTAAGTTCGTAGGTCTAGGTCTAGACGAAGGTCAGAGGTCTAGACGAAGGTCAGAGGTCTAGACGAAGGTCAGAGGTCTAGATGAAGGTCAGAGTACTAGACAAAGGTCAGAGGTCTAGATGAAGGTCAGAGTACTAGATGTAGGTCAGAGTACTAGATGAAGGTCAGAGTACTAGATGTAGGTCAGAGTACTAGATGAAGGTCAGAGTACTAGATTAAGGTTAGAGGTCTAGACAAAGGTCCAGGTCTAGATGAAGGTCAAAATACTAGATTAAGTTCGGAGGTCTAGGTCTAGACGAAGGTCAGAGGTCTAGATGAAGGTCAGAGGTCTAGACAAAGGTCAGAGGTCTAGATGAAGGTCAGAGGTCTAGACAAAGGTCAGAGGTCTAGATGAAGGTCAGAGGTCTAGATGAAGGTCAGAGGTCGCCCCTCTTTGAGTCCAACACGTTGGTCCACACTTAAACACCTCAAAGTGTTGGATGGATTCTGATGAAATATTGTTCAGACCTTCATGTTCCCCTCAGGATGAGCTCTAATAACTTTAGTGATCCTCTTACTTTTCATCCAGCGCCATCATCAGGTCAACGTGTTAATGTGTCCAACACTTTGGTTTGTGACCAAATCCCTGCAGAACTAATAACATCCCATCAGCCTGGGCTGCACCCTGTTTACTGCTTAAAGCTTCCACTTGTCATTGTCACTGCACCATCACCACCACACAGCAGCATACAGTTGTTTGCATTTAGCTCAAAGCACTGCTGTTTATAAGTGCAGCCTCACAGCTCACAGAGTTTCATCCATGAAGGTTTTATATTTGTAAAACTTTCCCACAACATAAAAACGTGACTGAAACGGTTTAATCTGTGTGGTGTCCCAGTGAGCGGCACCAGGGTGCAAAGCGCTACTGAGCATGTGCAGTGGAACGCAAACCCAGAAAATCTTTTTGGGCCCATGAGAAATTTTACTCAAGTGAATGAGTCAGAGATCCATGCTCCTGACCCATGTATGGTGAGAGACTTGCCAGCAGCAGCAACACTGTGAACCCGGGGCCCCAGACCCTGAGGGGCCCCAGGGTCACAGTGTGACAGTTTGATTAATATAAAGTTACAGCTCCTGCATTTGTATTACAAACTACACGGAGCTCTCTCTGTTAGCTGGAAATACTTCAGGTTGTTTGTGGTAGATATTCAGCATTGGAAAGTATCCAAGTACATTTAATCAAGTACTGCACATTTGAGGTACTTGGACTAATTTTCTACAACTTTATACACATTTTAGAGGAGTACTTATTTTGCTTCACTACATTAATGTAACATATTATTAATATATAACTACATATACATATAATTACTAGTTACTGTTTAAAACATATGATGAAACTCTAAAATACAGCAGATTTATCTAGTGACCGCTTTGAGGGGCCCGACCCGTCGGTTGGGAACCACTGGAGAAAAGTACAAATAACCTCGAGCAGCTCCAACAAGTAAATTTAATTTATTGTTAAAACATTAGATTAGATTTAAAGAAAATCTGTATCAGATGAGATTAAATTATGTTTTTATTATAATGATGAAATCATATTAAATCATCTAAACCTTCTCCCAGCAGCAGATGACATTTTAAACACTGAACTTTATGTTAAGTACAACAGGATTTAAAAGCAGCAGAACTTACTGACAGAAAGGTGAAGAGAAATATTCCAACAAAAATCCCAAATTTAAAACGAAAATCCTCAAAAAAAACCTCCAGAATATTCTGCTGGTCATCGATCAGTAATGAAAACTGCTCAAACGTTTTCAATCAAAATGTTTTCAACCAATAAAAACGATCGATTATTGGTCTCAGATGTCGTCGTGACAGACTCAAAAGTTGCAACGTTTTTTTGAATGCAGTTTGGTGTCTGTCCTGTCTCAGTGTCAGGACGGGTCGGTGGTCTACGTGCAGAGGACAGATGCACGCTAATATACAACCCGCCGCTGTGATGTCACACATTCTTACCACTGTTACCCCCGACAACGGGTCTCACACACACACACACACACACAGTCAATGGATGAGACAAAGATAGAAGAGCTGTGTGTGTGTGTCGTATATTGAAAAGTTTGGAGGAAAAAAAGAGACAAAAATATCGACCAATCAGATGCGAAGGTTAACGAAAAGAGTCACCTTCATTCACAAGTGAAAAATCACTTTTTAATCACGAAGGGTGTTTCAGACGTCCATGGGAAGATTTAAATGGTTGTTAAGGAGCCTGGAATGATCCTTGAGGAGGTCCCAGGATACCTTGAGGGTTTTTTTTTAGCAGTTCTTGAAGAGACTCAGAGGTAGTTGAACAAGCTTCCTGGAGAACTTGAGCGGTTCCAAGGTCCTTGAAATAGGACACAACCAAATGTTGCAGAAATGCTGCAAGTAGCAGAGACACAGTGTTTCCAGGGGACACTAAAAAGTGATGCACACAGCCGGGACAATTTCTGTTTGTCTTCTGTTTTCTCTGAAAGCGGTGAACGTTGTTGAACCGGTGAATCAGAATCAGAATCAGTTTTATTGCCAGGTATGTGTACACATACGAGGAATTTGACTCAGGATTGTACATTGCTCATGATGTGCTTACTTATACAATAATAAAATAATAATAATAATAATAAAATAAAATCAGACACAAACTACAGAGTAGACAAAACTAATATACACACTATGAACAAAACAATATAGACATATTGACAAGATGTTTTGTTAAGCTGCCGTGTTTCGAGCTCTCAGGCCCCGAGTTTCCTGCAGCATGTGAGGGAGTTAAAGAGAATGAGGAGGCCAAAAGGGTCCTTGAGGAGGTTCCAGGAATGGTTGGATAGGTTCCTCGAGGGTTTCCAGCGTCCCTGAAAAGATTTCAGAGGTCTGTGAGGAGTCTTTGAATGGATCCCATGATCCCTTGAGGGGTTTCATGAGGAGGTTACAAGTTTGGTTGAAAATTATCCTGGAGTCCTTGAAGGGTTTCAAGGTCCTAAAGGCATGTCAGAGGTCATTGAATTTGTGTCTGGAGTCACTGAAGGGGTTCCAGGTGTCCTTGAATAGGATCATGCCGTCATTGAAAAAGTGAGTGCTGAGTTGGTGCCTGGAATTCCTTGAGGGGTTATAAGGACCTGAGATGGTACCAGGGAGCGATAAGGAAGCTTATACTGTAGGTTTCCTGCAGTGGCAGCAGGATGCTTTGAGGGGGACTCCAGGAAGGACCCTGGAACCACTCAAAGACTCCTTTACACTGAGAAGCAACAGATAGCACTGACAAGTAGGTCCTGGAGCACTCAAGGGGGTTCCAAGGTGTCTAGAGAGGTTCCAGGTGTCGCTGAGTGTGTAAGCTGCTAATCTAGTCCTGTTTACCTGTAAGTTAAAACACCTGGAGCTCTAATCATCATCCTCCTCTTCTTCTTCATCTTTGACCCTGCAAACACTGCCAGCACTCTGAAAAATGTTCTTATATATTCTATATAATATTCCAAGTACTATGTTATTTTCATGGTATAAACTATAGATTATAGTGTTAATATATAGTTATATATTACTTATAGTTACTACACTCATTACAGTTTTGTATGTAGTTTAACACCAGGCCTCTATATTAATTCCACTTACAGCTGTTCCATTTCTATGGGTTGTTTTGATCCATTAAGTCAGCGGTTCCCAAACTTTTTAGGCAACGCACCCCCTTCTACATCTTGACCGGGTTGCTGCACCCCAAACCACCCATCTCTCTAGGTTTGGTTATTTGTATATATTATTTACTTATTTAGTTATTTACTTATTTATTTGCTCAATGTCCCACCCACAGCAATCTGATTGGTTACACCGTGTGAATAATAGCCTATTAACACTCTGCTCTAGTGAGCAGAGGAGCAGTGTGTTGAAGAGAAGGCAGCCGATATAACGTTATATATTTATTACTTTAACAAGTAACAGTGGCAGTAAAACTTTTTATCAGACTGTGATGGTAACTTTGCAATCAATTCACAGTTCAGCTGCGTGCCGAACCATGTGGAGGGAGGTGGGGTGTATTTTCATGACAAAAAAAACGTTTCAAAATGTCCCTCCTCTGTTTTCTCACAATTGTATCCTGTTATAGCCTCATAAACAGATAACATGGACTATAAGAGGATCCGCATGAGGATTTGTAAGTACAGTGTGGGTGGCTCAGCCTGAGAGAGAGTGAGAGGAAAGGAGGTGTCTGAGTAGCCATTTCCTGTGAACTAACTATTAATAACGTTTTTAATTTTTAAATTAAATTTACAAAGGAAAGTTTTCAATTCAGGTTTTTATTTAATGAAAAATCCACCAAAAAATTATTTATTAGTTATTATACTACTACATCAACATCATATTTTTCCTGTCACGCACCCCCTATAGGCAGCTGACGCACCGCACTTTGGGAATTGCTCCTTTAAATTGATGCAGAAGAATTGCTGAAGGTTGCAGTATTTTCTCGCACATTGTCCATGATTGTTGCAGTTTGCACGTATCTATTTTTAGGGCAATATGCGAGTGAATTACTCTGTGTGTGGTGGGTGATCTCTCCTCACTGTTACAGCTGATGTTCCACTTACTGCCACCTGCTTTTGTCACGCTTTGGATTGTTTGGTCTGTGTTTTATATCTGTGTCTGTTTGTTCATTCAGAGCTGATCAGTGTCTGGTGTTTGTTTCCTGTTTTAGTTTGAAGTGGTCTGTGTCTTCCCTGTCTGATCACCTGATGTGTCTCACCTGTTTATTTCCTCACGGCTCGTTGGCCCTGTATACATTACCTGCTGGTCTGTTCTGTCTGCATTGTCTTGTCGTGTGTGGACTTATTTTTCATCACCTCCTGAATACTGTTCTGACGTTTCTAGACTTCAGCAGTGACTTGTGCACTTCTTGGTAAATAAATTATCGAACTCGTCCTGCCAGTACTGGCGTCTGACATTTGGGTCCTACAAGCTGTGAAATCGTCACAGAACACCAGAAACTGATAATTTCAAAACAAACCAGGAAGCAAACAGACACAGATCTAAAACACAAAAACACAGACCAAACAGCCCAAACAGTGACGGCTTTATGGAGGAGAGCGTGGCAAACACTTAAAATACGCACAGTGGGGTTTTTACATTTGTAGGAAGGTTGAAAGTACGGTACATTAACTGGAAAGTATTTTAACGGGAGGATACCAGGATAGAACGGTAAAACAATAGGAAAATCATGGGAAAAACAGGACGCTCGGCAGGTATGCCTTTGACCTCATCATCATCATCATCATCATCACCTTCGAGAGAATCAGACTCCAGTATTCTCTCTGTAATCAAACAGATGATTCTCACTCTCTCTCTGTCTCCCTCGCTCTTCCTCACGACCCCTGACCTCGGTCATCCCGCCTCCTCGTAAACCGTCACCGTGGCTACTGGGTCGTTGTTTGCAACTATTTCCTGTGGAAGGGGGCGGGGCTACAGAGGTTCACATCGTCCAAAGGTGTGTGTGTGTGTGTGTGTGTGTTTAATGACCCCCTGCTGTCTTTGTCCCAGTCAGACAAATCCCCGCCCCCCATTCAGCCTCTGACGTCATCGACCACGCACATGAAACACACACACACACACACACACACAGACTCAGTAAGAATAGCTCATCAATCACCTTATTAGAGAGAAAGAGGTCGCTGATCACAAAATCACTGGTTTTTGTGTTTGTGTGTGTGTGTGTGTGACGCAGACAACATTCCTGCCCGCCCCTCCGACAGCGACACACACTCTCCCAACTCCTACGGTTCCAGGATACCTTAAGGGACATCAGGGGTCCTTGAAAAGATGCCAGAAGTCATTAAATGGCTCTTCATGGGGTTTCACTGGTCCTTGAAGAGGATCCTGGAATTTTATTAAGACGATTAGTTTTAGAAAGTGCAAACAATTGAAAGTGACACAAAACAATGTTGTTACATATCCTCTCACAGTTTTAAGTGGATGAGCTGAAATCCTGGACCTTTCCTAGTGGGTAAACGGCGTCTACCTGCTTGCAAAGCAGACTCTGTGCACCTCCTGTTCATTAGAAACCATCTCCTTTCTGACCTTTCTTAAACTCAGTTATAATTTCATGTTGGATCAGCAATCCTTTTATGGCGTGCAGACAAACATGATGGATTTGGTGACTCACTTTCTAAGCGGCAAATGTTTTAATACCAGCAGCCATTTGTCTCTGTTCATAGTTTACCAGCTTAGTCCAGATCCCAGAGTGGATCAACATGTGACATCACGCTGACCTCACTCTGACATCACTGATCAGCAGGAATCAATAGTGAGTGTGTAGACTGTGTGTGAGAGTCAGTAGGAGGAGTCAGAGTGAAGAAGAAGCTGACAAAGCGTCCTCCTGTCTTCATCCGTCCTCCATCAGCTGCTTCACCTCCATTTTCTCTCTGATCCAGAGTCAGATCGGATCAATGATCAAAGATCAAACAGATTGATCGGCCATCAGAGGAGTTGGATCAGTGGAGCTGCTTCTGTTCCTGCTTCTCTCTGCAGAGGAGACAGAGGACAGTCAGACAGAGACAAACACAGAGACTCTGACCTCAGTCTGCATACTGACCTTTGACCCTGAGATCAACTGTTTTCCATCTCAGGATGTTTCCCTCCTTGTTGTAGACTTTACACCTGTATCGTCCTCCGTCTCTGACTGTGGGGGATTTCAGGGTCAGACTGAGGTCTCCAGTTCTCAGCAGGTCTTCCTTCATCTCTGTTCGGTCTCTGTAAACCTGGTCCTGTTGGTCAGGCTGGTCAGAGCCGTTCTGATACACGTGGACTGTCTGTATGGGTTTGGGTTCATGGCGTCTCCACTCCACTGTAGCGTCCTCAGGCAGGTTGTCTGTGGTCTTGCAGGGCAGCAGGACAGACTCCGCCCCCTCCTCCACCTCCACCTGACAGTCTGAGAGGACAACAAAGCACAACATGAGCTGCACAGACAGCAGCAGCTAACAGGGGACAGAAACACAGGAAGCTGTTGGTGTCACGATCCTGTCCTGAGCGTGTCTGGTTTTCAGTCCTGTCTGTGTGTCTTGTTGCGGAGTCTGGGTTTTTGTTCCATGTCTGTGTTCCTAGTCCTGTGTTTTAGTTCTTGTTGTAGTATTTGATTCTAGTTCTTTCTCTGCATCTTTTGGTTTTAGTCTGCTGGGTACTCTGTGTTCTCATTTCTCTGTTATGATCCCTGTGTTATAGTTGGTTAGGTGTCATTTATGTTCTCTGCCAGTTTCAGTAATCTGATTTTGTTCATTCAGCTCTAGTCTCTGTTTAGCCTTTATTATTCACCCACATCTTATTTAGTATCTGTCTTGCCTCGTATCTTAGTCCTGTATCTTAGTTTATGTGTTAAGTGTTCACTCCCGGTCTGTGAACTTCTGTGTTTTGCATCTGCGTCTCTCTGTTCCCCCCTGCTGTCTCTCTGCCTCGTTACCCTGATCCCAGTCACCTGTGTTGCTCCCGCCCTGCTCGTTAGTCCCTATGTGGAAATGTCTGGTGTTTCTGTTCATTCCCTGTCCAGTCATTGTTGCTTGTATGCCCTGTTGTATGAAGTTGCTGCTCTTGGATGTTACCAGTTTCCTGTACCTGGGAGTTCTGTTTGTCATGCTTGGGATTAATAAACCCTGGAACTCAATCTCAGCTCACAGTGTCATGCGTTTGGGCTCTCCCCTGCTTTGCGCACCCAGCGATCCTGACAGTTGGAGATGATCAGAGTCTTGATGCTGCTGGGATTGTTTTGTCCATGTGCTGCTTCACAGTAATGTCTCCTGTCAGTGTTGAGCTGCTGGACTTTTACATTTCTGGATCTAAAGCTGAACTTTGAAGAGAAGAAGCTTTCAAATGTTTTCATCTCTGTTCTGTAAATGAATCTCAGCTCCACATGTTCAACATCAGTCCAGAACACCGAGACACACAAATATCTGATCTGGATCTGATCCCAAACTGCTCTTCCTGCTTCATCAATATTTGGCCTTTTCTTCTGCCGACTCTGAGCCCACTTTTCTTTCCAAACGGCTTCAACATGATGTGAAGAGAACTGATCATCAATCTTTCATTGATCCAAACTATTAAAGCTGCATTTCTTTGTTCTCAGTGATCAACACATTTGGTTTCTTTCAACTCCGTCCTTCCACTTTCTTCTCGATCAATACTGGAAATCAATAACATGATCTCATTGTTTCCATTCATGGAAATGATCTCCTGGATTATTCTGGTTTCCTGTTATGATGTCATTTCCTCTTTTGATTGATACGTTGTGAATGTGAAATGTTGTAGCTGATAAATACGTGTCAGATGTTTGATTGATAATCTCTGGGGACTTGAAAGAATTGATCAGTAATCAGAGCCTTCATTTTCAATAAGTGGCTCTGACCTCTGACCTGTATCTACAGCTCTGACCTCTGACGTGTATCTACGGCTCTGACCTGTATCTACGGCTCTGACCTCTGACCTGAATGTACTGCACTGACCTCTGACCTGTATCTACAGCTCTGACCTCTGACGTGTATCTACAGCTCTGACCTGTATCTACGGCTCTGACCTCTGACCTCTGACCTGTATTTACTGCACTGACCTCTGACCTGTATGTACAGCACTGACCTCTGACCTCTATCTGGCGAGAAGGATGGCGCCGCTCAGGACACCCGTGGCATTTTGGTGCTCTCTGATTCTTTTGTTTACATTTGTTACCTTTGCATTGTGATGTGATACCCGGAGCCCTTTCACCAGAGGAGCGCTCATAAACATCAAGGGACCAACGCCCAGGGATTTAATTCCGACTTCTCTCATCAGTGGAATTATTGGACATTCTGGTCAAGGCTTCACTTTCTGCTGTTCATGCAGTGAGACGCCGGAGGGGCAGGAGGTCCAGTGTAGTGAACAACGGTGTGGATTTGTGCATTTTATATTGAATGAATGTGGAGCTACCCTAAATTCCTTTCTCCTCCCCAGAGAAGATGGGGAGGGGTCAAAGTTGCTTTCTCTAAGTGCTAGCCCGACCATAAAACTGGCACCATTTTGATTCCGAAGCTGATAACGCGGGGCCTGACTGTTAAACTGACAAAGGGACACGAGCCAGCCATTGGCATCTCCCTGAACAGCCTATCAAAACTTACCCCACCACACACGTTTCCGTGGAAACTGACCTTATTCTTTGTTTTATTACCACATCAAAAGGATACTCCTTGTCTCACCTAAGTGTGACATGTTCCAGACACTGAACTTTGGATGACAAAGGACTGCATTCTCCAAAATACTCAACGCATCTAATTAAATGTAATTAAATCTTTAGTTACCTGAATACGTTTGCCTCTATTTGAGTAGTTATGTTAACTGTTGTTGCTATCTGTTGTTGATATTAGTGCTGAAAAGAAGTTACTTGTGCAATGTTTTTATTTTCAGCAAGACACTCCTTCATCTGATGTAATCAATGCTTGTTCATAATACTTTCTTACAAAATCCCTTTAGAAATGATGACAAAGAAATGTTTTACTATACTCTTAATCGCCAGCTTGAATTTAAGGATGAATCAACAATATTCCCCGGTTCCTAAGGAGAGACGATCTTTGATTTAATCCAAGCTTTCCTCATGTAACCTGAGCTCCCCCAAGTGGACGAAATAAGTATTACATGCCCTCGTCGGAAATGCGGTTAAATGTGTAAAAATACTGACCACTAATGTGACAATTGTTTCCTGTTACCAAATGCTTAGAACAGTACAACCGTTCAACCATTGAGGTTCGATTGTGGAAAATATTTGATTATAATACGTGCAAATAGATTTCTTTTCTTTAGACATTAAGTTTGGAAAGGCAGTCCCTTGGGAAACCTGAGACGCCCCCTGGGGAACCACGCCCCAGGCAACAAAAGAGCGACACGCGACCTGCTCGCCAGTCTCTAGACTCTTCACTCTAGACTCTTAGTCTCTGCCCTCTGGATGCTTCGGCACGCGCGTGGCGTGCCTCGCCAGGCAACACGCCCAGACTCGGCCAGCGAAACAAACAGGCCTTTGTTCGCCTGAAGCTACACACCTGAAGTGCCGAGACATCGATCTGCCTTCAGTTTGTTTATTTTCTTTATTTCTTTTGTTTGTTAAAGTTATGAGTCCGTTAAGTTACACTGGACTAATTCAGGAACGACCAAGTTCCATTTTAAGCCTTTTTCGTCGAGCCAACTTCACCGAGGTCAGACCAAGCCACGTGGTCTCGCCAGCTACAACCAAGGAAACCTGCAAACAGCCGAATTGCCAGACGGAGGAGCGTTTTCAATCAGACACGGAGAACCCCGAAGAATCCCTAGCAAAAAGCCAGGATCGGCAGCTAGAGTGGGACCCGTGCAACAGGCCAAAAGCAGGCTGTCGACAAGCAGTAAGACTTAACACACGTCCTGTGATCAGATGTCCATTTAACTCCTAAAATATAGCATTAGTTTACTTTCATTAGCTCTTCTATGCCGTATGAGTCAAATGCTTCCCACAATCGAACCTCCAGGCTCATTGTTCAGCAAATGTTTATGTTCCCTGTATCCAACCATCTTTTATCACCTTAGTTAGAGAATAAATTCACTGTAATATAATCAAGAGCTGTGTGTGTTGCCTATTTATAGTTCCTGCCAAGAGAATTGACCCTTTAGATATGAGACTGACTGACTGATTTAAGATAATTGAGCGATTATTAACTAACTGATCACTAGTAATAATTGTATAATTATTCAAAACTACCTAGAGGTCCGGAGACTCTAGGATTATAACAACTCCGGTGGTGCCCTTTACGAGGAAATTCTGATTTTATGAATAATAATTCATAATTGGGTATCAATTCTCATAAATTTATTAAAATGCATAACTAATAAATTTAGGTCCACTACATAATGGTGCCCCGTGTGAGGCCTTGTGACATACTATAATAATAGACTATACACACAGCCCTGATGCAGAGAAGTTATTAAGAGTCCCAGAAAAAAAAATTCCCTCCAAAATTTTGCCACTGAAATAATTATCGCCCAGTAAGTCGCTCCATAGAAACTCTCCTGTCTTCCCTCTTAACTTAACGTTAGTGATGAAAGTGTGTGTGAGTTTTGACCATGTTCTTTGTTGTGAAATGAAATGCTTTGTGCAACTTGTTTGGCCGCCGCGCCATCATTCTTTGTTGTTCAGTACAGAGCTGTAGTGAGCTGAGCTATGAGGGCCGAGCTAATGTTAAACTGAATGCATTCCTGTAACGTTGCCATATGAGAAATCTGAGCTAAAGCTACACACAATCTCCGCTGACGAGCGGATGAAATGCCCTTTTGGTTGAGAGAAACTTAACCGATATTGATAATTTTAAGGCCTAATAAGAGGCAGACAGATTACAGTTGCGCTGTGCCAATGTGATTTGTTTGCGGCTATAAATAACAGTCTGACGCGCTGAGCCGTGGATTGTTATGTTATATGCAAAACTCCGGTATCCTGTTGAAATTAGCTACTTCAACAAATACAGCTGCCCGGCAGTGGAGTCACAGGCGTGAAGACGCCGAGTTCAGCCTGTAGCGTTGTACCTACCGAGCTAAGTTAACGCTAAATCGAAGCTTGAAAGCAAGCTGAGTCATTGAAACAAAGGAGCGAGTCCTTCCCCCATTTTGAGCGGGACTGGTGTCCGTCAGTGTTCTGATTTACTGCCGTTGCTGCAACGACGGTTTGCTAACTGCGTTAGCCTGAAGCTAACAGCTGTTGGGTCCGAGGACCAGAGAGGAAGCCGCTTCTTCTTCTACATTGAGAAATAGGCCGCGCCCGAGGCGGAGCCACAGCTCCCCTACTGGCTGGCGGAATAAATTGCATGCTCTGCATTAAATCGACTTCAGCGTCATCAGTGACAGAGATGAGCGTTTGAATCGAGTGAATTAAACCAGACTTTGGTGATAGATCTTGTT